TTTCCAAGGGGGAAAAAAGATACTAACAACTGTTTGTTAGTGCTATCTTAATTAACTTATCTATGTTGGCGCATTTGGGTTAAACCAGTTGCCTATGAGTAAAAGAGGAACAGGTTTAACTAACAGTTGTTAGACAAGTTTTGATAAAGCCTCTTTGGCTTATGCCCCAGAAACTGAAAATAAGAATGTCTCTGAGGGCCGAATACCAATTATTTGAAAGCCAGGTAATTTCCAAGTCTTAATTTTCAAAACAACTGAAGCAGGACCTAACTGAGGTGTCATTTTTGGGCACAGAACTTGGAAGGGATTCAAAGAATTAAGTGACATTAGTGGAGCAAAACTCCTGCCATCCCATGTATTTATTCATGGTTCCTCAGAGCTTCTACCTCTAAAAATAAAAAAAATTGGAAAAATAGGTGATGCTACACTCTTCTTTCTAGCAATAAGTATCCTCTGCCCATTTATCCATAAGCTAACTTTAAAAGCCAACTCACTCCTCGCCCGGCTGGCGTGGCTCAGCGGTTGAACATCGACTTCGGATCCAGGGGATCGCGGTTCGATTCCGGGTCAGGGCACATGCCCGGGATGTGGGCTCGATCCCCGGTGGGGGCGTGCAGGAGGCAGCCGATCAATGACTCTCATCACTGATGTTTCTATCTCTCTCTCCCTCTCCCTTCCTCTCTCTGAAATCAATAAAGACATATTAAAAAAAAAAAGCACGAACTCATTCCATTATAAGTTGCAATTTCAGTGCAATATCCATTTAATAATTACTTTGGTGGTTAACAATTTAATAATGTGGACCAATAAAAGGGGTTCTATGGAAAGTACCTCACAGGGTGATCTGATCATAAATTCCAAACTGGGCAAGGTCATGCTGGGTAGTCATACCCTAAGCCTATAACGTTTTTATTTTTAATAACTTTTTATTTTTCAATTACAGTTGATATACAGTATTACATTACTTTCAGGTCTACAATATAGTGATTACACATTTATATAACTTACGAAAATATCACCCCTAATAAGGCTAGTACCCACCTGACACCATACATAGTTATTTTAATATTACTGATTATATCACCTATACTATACTTTACATCCCCACTACCATTTTCATAACTGGCAATTTGCATATCTTAATCCCTTCCTCTTTTTCACCCAGTTCCCCAAACACCCTTCCCATCTGGCTACCATCAAAATGTTCTCTATCTATGAGTTTGTTTCTGTTTTGTTTGTTCCTTTATTTTTTGGTGTTTTTTTTTAGATTCCACATGTACGGGAAATCATATGGTACTTGTCTTTCTCTGCCTGATGTATTTCAATTAGCACAATACCCTCTAGGTCCACCCATGTTATTGCAGATGTCAAGCTTTATTCTTTTTTACGGCTGAGTAATACTCCATTGTATATACGTACCACAGCTTTTTTAACTTTTCATCTATCAGTGGATACTTAGGTTGCTTCCATATCTTGGCTACAGTTAATAAATCTGCAATGAACACAGGATACATATGTCTTCTGGAACGAGTATTTTGGGTTTCTTTAGATAAATACCCAGAAGTGGAATTGCTGGGTCTTTGTTTGAAACTCCATTTTGTCTGGTATTGCTACCTCAGCATTTTTTCCCCATTTCCATTTGCATGAAATATCCTTTACTTTCAGTCTGTGTGTGTCTTTCAATATGAAGCAAGTTTCTTGTAGGCAACATATGTATGGGGTGTGTTTTCTTATCCATTCAGCCACCCTATCCTTGGATTGGAACATTTAATCCACTTACATTTAAAGTAATTATCGATAGGCATGTAGCTACTGCCATTTTATTATTCATATTTTCTTCTTCTTAAAGAAGACCCTTTAACATTTCTTATAACGCTAGTTTGGCAACGATGAGCTTCTCTCGCAGGCCAAGGTCAGCTGATGCCTGTGCCCAGCCTGGAGCCACCTGGTAGGAGCTACAAAGTGACCTGCGGTTGGTAGCTGCTTGTGCTGGGTTGGCAGGCACCCGAGAGAGGCTATGCTGTCAACTGAGGCCAGCTACCACTAGCGCCAAGTTCGAGGCCACGAGGCAAGAGGTACAGGGCATGCCAAAGCCAGACAATGCTTGTTTGGGGTTTGTGGACTTTTCAGAGATTTTTATAAAAGTCCTCAGAACAGGCTAAAAGCTGCTGAAAGAGGTTCCAGCCTGTGAGTGAACTGGGTGGGGAGGGACCCTCAGGAATCACCAGGGTGGGGAGAGAGCAGTGTTAACCAGGTTAACCGAGACTCAGACACGCAAGGTGTCCTGGGTTGGGGAGGGCTCAACAAAGGAACAACGATGCCTGCCGTGCCCCAGAGAGCTGCCCCTCCAGCCCTTGCCTGGAAGCTAGACATTTCAGTTCCTCCCTGGGTGTCCCCAGTGCTTTTTGAGCTGCTATCCCTACTCTGGAGCTCAGAGAGTGTTTGTGAGTCTGTACTCGGGCCCTTTAAGAGGACCTCTGGGACTCCAGCAGCCCTATCTAACCCAGACGGAGTCCCCGCTGATTTTCACAGCCAGGTGATGTGGGGACTCCTCTTCCTGCACTGGTGTTCTGGGCTGGGGAGCCCTCACCCCTCAGGCAGGACCTTCCAGCTACGATATCCCTCCTGATTCTTTTAAAAAAATTTTTTTTAAAATTTTTATTGATTTCAGAGAGAGGAAGGGAGAGGGGGAGAGAGAAACATCAATGATGAGAGAGAGTCATTGATCGGCTGCCTCCTGCATGCCCCCTGCTGGGGATCGAGCCCACAACTGGGGCATGTGCCCTGATGGGGAATCGAACCTCAATCTCCTGGATCCCAGGTCGCTGCTCAACTGCTGAGCCACGCCCGCTGGGCTCCCTCCTGATTCTTAAAGGCTACACGTGGGTGTGGGACCAGCCTGTCCTGCATCTCCACCCCTCCTACCAGTCTCAAGGTAGCTTCTTCTTTATATCCTTAGTTATAGGACTGCTGTCCAGCTCGATTTCAGGTGGTTCTGAAATAATGGCTGTTCTGTAGTTCAGGTGTAATTGTGATGTGGTCGTGGGAGGTTCAGAGTATTTACCTATGCCATCACCTTGACCAGTAGTCTCCAGGCCTACGACTTCTTTAGTGAAAGGTTTTAAGCCAGCCCTTCCACTGTTCTTGTGCATCTAGGTTAACACACCTTTGAAACGCCAAAAGTAATACCCCTTGATGGGGGTATTAACAATCAAGAGAGCTCATAATGTTAACTATTCTATAATCCAATCCTTGCCTTGCTTTCTCCCACCCCCATGTATTTCCTTCCTTAATTTTAAATGCATGAAAGAAGCTGCAAAACTGTTACTCTCCGGAGCCTTTGAAAAGATCTTGGTCCCTGGCTTATGTTGTCAGTTTGCCTCAAACTTATAAAAATTCTTTACAGGTTTGGATGTTTCTTACTTTGACAATAATACTAATGATTTATCAACATTTATTTGTTTAGATCAACTGTGAATTAATAGCTGAAACAGTAACTTAATCTAGGAGAAATTAATAGTATGGATTTAGATTCCACTGGATACATTTAAAGGGATAATTTTTAAATGTCAATATTTATAATACACTATTCATTTTCATAATTTCTGGAAAGTACACCAAAACACTTTACTGAAACTTATGAAATGATTATTACATAGTTTCTGTTTCTCTTCCATTTAGAAGCAATCTGCTTAACCCCAATACTCAAAAGAGTTGGAAAACTGAAATATTATATTTTTTGCAACTATTTTGACAAGAAATTTACATATCACCTTAAAAATGTATGAGGGGGATGTGTAGTTTTACATTATTTGGAGGGGGGTGTCTGTGAGCAAAAACATTTGAAGGCCACTGCTCTAAAGGGCTTGCAATGGGAGTGGTTTAGCCTGGACCACTTGACCTAATGGCTTTGTAAAGTTTTCAGGAGTTGAAACTGTATTTTCTAGTCATTTCACTGGGCATTCTTGACCCTAAATGGCAGCCAATACCAATGGAATTTGGGTCCGGGATGCTGGGGTCTTCCCACTTTTCTGAGTTTCCTCTGGGATAACATGACTCAAGGCTCTCTCTAGGATGCTGCAGGGAGCCAGGCTCATCACCAGTCCTTCTCCTCCTGAGCACTGCTTCGGAGCATTCCTTCACCTTATCTCTGATCCCCCTGGCTATCCCTCCCAGCTGGGGCCTGGCTTAGGAGCTATCAGAAGTCTGATGCTTCTGACCCACAGACTGCTTCTGCCTCTTGTCAGGAAGCACTTGCCCCTCTGTGACCAAGGTTAAGGTGAGGTCTGAGGCTCCTCCACATCCCTGCAGCCCCACTTCTAAACAGAAAGCGCAGCAGAGCCGTTAAGTGAGTGGAGCTGGCAACATTTGGGTTCTAATCTCAGCTCTACCATTTTAAACTGTCATCAGAAAGGCAAGCCATTAGACCTCTTAACAACTCTCAGTTTCCCTACCTATTAAATGGTGATAACAACAGAACCGTCTCATGGGGTTAGAAGGGCTACCTGAAATGCTGAGCTGGCGTACAAAAGCTTAATAAGTGAAGTGATTATTATTATTACTAAATGTAAGGTGTAGAGTTTAAGAGTGAACTTTTAGAGGAAAAAGTGGGACTCGGTAGGCAGAATGCTCCCCCTTTCAATGGAGCACCTCTAAAGGTGTAGGGTAGAAGTGAGCCCAGGCTCTGCCCCCAAGAACTGTGGCTGCAGATCATTTCTGGCAAGGACAGCCCCTCACTCCTGGGCAGCTGCCACCCGGACACACAGCCACTGAGCAGGAGACCCCCATGGCTTGGTTCCCCCCACACCTGCGCTTGTCCCAGAAACATAGGAGTACACATGGGGGACCCGAGTGTTGTGACACAGAGCCAGCAGTATCCTGTGCCAACCTCCCATGCACAGCATAATCCCCCCTCCCTATGGGCAGGTGGAGATGGTAGAGGCACGGCAGGCTGAGCTGGCCCAGGGCCCCTGATTAACCCAGCCAGGAAGGAAACTTACCTCAAGATTGATGAGACGAACGAGGACCGATCTGGCTTAGCATCAACTGCATCTGAGCTTGCTGAATCCCCAGCTCCCTGCTCCACAACAGAGTCTTGACTGTCTGCCATCTGGGAGGAGAAAAACAAAACAGAGAATTGGTATCCAGTGTGATATTTTAAAATAATACTCACTAAGTGACACCGTTTTTACTCAAGCCTAGATGAGCAGTCTTGAACACGGAGGCTCCGGGGCTGGGCTCCTGCCCCATCAATTCATTCAAGCGCTCGAATGCCAACTCCATTTCAGGCATTGTTCCGGAGTCCGGTGTACAGTGGGAAAGAACCAAGTCCCTGCCTCGGGGAGCTGCTACCCCAGCATCCACGATTTTGTTAAATGTTCCTTGTGTACGAAAAGCTGCAGAAGGTCCATCAAAGTTTGTAACAACAAGAAACTCCCCTAAATTCCTGACAGGTTATCCTAAGGTGCTCATCCTTTGCCTGGCATCGCTCAAATCCAGTTCAAAAAGGAGCAGCCTGCAGTATAAAGCTCTCTTTCTGTTTCACCTGATTTTCCCAAAACATATTTCCTCAAATCTCTCAGATGCTCAATTGTCTCCAAGAGATCCCTAGGATCTAAAAGTTCAAATCTAACCCCATCTCCTTGGATTTTAAGGCCCTTCAAACTGTGGCCCACCACCTGTTTTAGTAAAAAAAGTTTCATTGGAACACAGCCACATTCATTCACGAACTGTCTGTGGCTTCTTTTCTCACCACAATCAGAGCTGAGTAATTGTGACAAGAGATAATGTGGTCCATAAAGCCTAATATATTTACTACCTTTACAAAACAGGCGTGCTGACTCCTGATCTAGGAGAACTATCAGCCAACGTGTGGTGTGTAAGCCCTGAGCCTTTTGGTATCGCCTATCTTCGAGGCCGGATCTAGAATCTGTGATGATAAAATGATGTGACCACTAAATTAAAAAAAAAGGAAGAGCCTCAGCAAAATGACTCCTAAGAAAGGCAACATTTAATATTGTTGGGACTGCTGAGAAGATTCATCCGATGAGTATTTACTCGATGTCTCATGCACCAAGCTGTGTGCTAGGGGGTGGGGACATACTTTGGAGCAAACTGACCTGGTGCTACCTTGCTGGAGAAGAGACATCGTTGCCCATAACAGGGTGCTACGAACGCCGGGCTGCTGTTGCTGTGTGTGTGAGTACTAGGGGACCTGACTTGGCCTCAGAGGAACTCGGGAAATGTCTTCAGGGAAATGGTCCCAGGGAAATGTCTGAGAAGAGGAAGAAGGGAGGGTGGGATGGGGCGAGGCAGGCAGAGGAACTGCACACTCATGAAACATCTGGCATGCTCCATCCCTGGAGAGGTGCAGCTTGTACTCCTTCCTGGGCACGTGAGGGGGCTTTGGGCTTGGTGACAGAAGAGGTGAAGTTTCGGCTGATTTCTATGGCTCGGTGGTGGGAAGCTTTCCAGAGCTTTCCCTCCAAACACTAGGCCAGAAGGGTGTTCTATGTGAAACCTGCAGTCTTTCTAGGTTAATGCTAAACACTGTGTAGGGGGAAGCAAGGGTCCCTTTTAACAACCTGCAGAGTATATGTCTAAAACAAGCCAGCATGGGGGGACTTGACTCTTTTAAGTCTGCAAGGCTAACCATCCAGTGGCTTTCTTATGCCTGTGAGACTGGGCTTGATTTCTGAGTGACATCAAGTTTACCCAGAATAAGGATAGTGACCGAGTGCAGTGCCTGATCCCAGCGATATCACTTTAGTCAAGCCAAGGCTTGGTGTCGACCCCGTATTTCCACGTATCCTCACAGCCCACCAAGAAAACACAGGCCTATCTCAGCTCCCCTGTGCCTGGAGACCTGGCCTTACTTTCCCGCATGTGTCACCTTCTTGGGGCTCAGGCTCAAAGAGTGGCCGTTCATGGGATACTGTATCCTCAATTCGTAAATACTTCTACCTTCTCTTAAATAAATTACTATATAACATACATACAGCATTAATAGCACCAGGCACTCTAGGTTCAATATTACTATTACTATTACTACTATCCACTAGGACTCTAGCTATTTGCAGACTGAGAGCTTATCTTAATGATTCTTTTTTGTTTCCCAGTCACAGAAAAGAGCCATGTACATGGCAGGTACTCAATAAATATTTCTTTATAAATGTTATAACTGAAATGTACTTAAAATTTTTAAATTCTTCAGTGTCCCAAATAAATTGATAACACAGGACACACATCAGAACCAAAGGGACCCAGGGAGGGCCTTGGAGAGCGCCCAGTCATGGTGAACAGCAGATTAGGGGTTAAATCGACTCGTCCTTCTAGGACCTTGAACAAAGTACTCAACCTCTCCCAGCCTCAGTTTCCTCATCTGTAAAATGGGCAGACCATGATGCCTGAGTCATAGGTGACTATGCGGTTGAATGGAGCAATGCACCTGAAATGCTAAGCATAGTGCAGCACATTCTAAAAATAGTCCCCTACTCACTGCTTGAGTACTCAAGACTAAGAAAACATTCAACTGTCAACCTTCACTGGTATTTTTAAATGACCATATTTTAGGCAGCTTTTATGGAGATTGAAAACTAAAACCCTCCAGTGATTATTTCTACTATGCAAGCTTCACAGGTGCCTGACACATACTGGGCAGGAAATTCTTTCCCAGCTACTGTGGAAACTTTTTTTAAAAATGAAGGTTGGGGGGAATGCAGTTTCTTCCTTCAAAAAGTGACATAATACAACTTGCACTCCACTCTTGGCCCAATGAAGACAATCTTCCTAAAAGGCTCAAAGAGAAGCAGTCTTGAGGACCTCTGCCTCTCACCGCCAGCAGCTGGAGAAGGAGGGGCCCTGCTGGGCACTCAGGTACTGCACTGTCACCCGATGCTCACAGCATTGCTAGGAGACTGGAGCCTTTACCCTGTACTGCAAAAGAAACTTTGGTTTCTTCAGGGAAGTCGTCACCTTCCCAAAGCCACACAGCTAAGAGGAGTTGAAGTCTACCACTCCCATTTCAGCCTTGACAACCACTACTTTGAAGATAAGCAGGAGGAACAAAAATTTGGTAAACAATGACCTCGTCCCCTCCCCTGGCTCTTTGTAGAAGTTTTCAGCCCCTAAAAATTCTAGGGAGTAAATTCCAGGGAACAGTTAATCAAGGTTAATGAACGTTTTACCTTAGCTTCTGTCTGCCGCTTCGCTAGTCCCCCACCTGCTCCCTTAGCCAAATAGAATGTGGTTTTTGCCTTTATAGTTTCCCTGGGAAGACTGTTCGGGGCGGTGAGTCTGTTTAGGGCAGGAGCCCGCTTGTAGTCCCCCAGTGAATAAATAAATTCCAAATGCTCAATTTGGTCTCTGTGAATTAGTCTCGCGAAAACTGGGTATAAGAGGCAGAAGTGGACTGTGAACCCAGCACCTGCCTGCTGGGGATGAAGGTCAGGCTGAGGACCCTTAAGGAGGAAACAGCCTGTAAGTAAACTAAAAGTTGGGGCCAAGCTGTCTGCCAGCCCATGCGTTCAAGGCAAAGGGCCTGGGAATGACTCACAGTCACCTATAAGTAATTTTATGGCCCCATGAAAGGCAAACTTGAATACAATAGTGAAAGGTTAAATGGTAACTGGCATCCTGGGAGTCCTGCCTTTTTTCACTTCCTCAAGGGACCTTCAAGGGCCCAGCACGAGAGTACCCCAATAATGAGTACCCCAATAATGACGGCAGTGGCTCACGCGCAGCCCACTCAGCCTCCACGGAGGCGCTGCTAGGCACCGTCACCAGCTCCTTCCATCCCCGCTGCAGCCCTGAGCCCGGGATCAGCATTATTTCCATGCGACGGGGAGGGCGAAGGCCCCACGGCCGGCGGGCCAGCAGGGAGGCCGGACTGGAACCCGCAGCAGTCCGACTAGGAAGCCGTGGCCGTCAGGCCTTCCAGACCCCAACCGCCGCTCCCTCCCTGCTGAATGCACCTCTCCGTTTCCAAACCTCGAGTAGTCCCGGGGACGCCAGCGCGCGGGCTGGACCGGGAGGGAGGTCACGCAGATCTAAGCGAGCGGTGCCAGGGGCGCCGACAGCCCTCGGACCGAAGTTCCCGCGCCAGCGCTCGGGCACCCAGCTCGCGGCGGGCGGTGCTG